CAGGATGGCCCCCAAGAAGCCCTTAAGCTCCCCCGCAGAAGCCCCCGAGAGCCCTCTCGAGAGACCCCAGGAAGCGCCCACGAGGACTCCGACACAAAACACAAGCACGGCGGCGGGATGGGCCGAGGGCCATTTGATTGCTGGCATACGCGACGCGTCACGACTTTCGACGCTGCGCACCACTTGGACAAACTCCCAGGGAGCGGCTGGCGTGCGCCGCCAGCGTCATCGATTACATGCGTTCGTCTCGCACTGCTAAATAGTAGGGGGGCTACAAGCCCCCAGTGTCTCTCGGCACATCTGTGTTTCTTGGTTTCACGGCGTCGTCGAATGGCTAACCGTCTTCCACTACCCAGTCATCCCGCCCTTGTCTTGCATGGCGCTGTCGGGCCCCATTCCGACTTGAACTGCCGCCAGCCTCTTCTGAACATTCGGATCGTCTTGTCCTTGAAGCCACTCGACGACTCTGTCTCAGCATTCTAAACTACGCGGCCCATGCGCGGCGCCCCCCCCCCCGGGCAAGAGCATCGCTTTGCCGCCATGACGCCCCGGCGCCGGCAGGCCCCATAGCCATGCATTCCGACCTAGTTCTTTACGGCAACCCCTCAAGCGACTATCGGCCCGGCGTCGACGGCCGCATCTTGGACAGGCACCGCGATTGGCAAAATCACCTGGCTCCAACAGCCATCCCAAGTGCGCTGGGATCTGGTTGCCAAGATAAACCTCACACGATGGGCAACTCTTCTAGATCCCATCTCTCGCCCACGCCCCCCTGCGCCGAGAATTGAGGGCGCCGCCGCGCACGCCAATGAATGACGCCTGGCTTGCCTCGCGCGCCCCCCAGAAGATTCCGCGCCACCGTCCTTTTCCGCGGTCGATGTCCCCTTTTCACGGGGGTCGTCGGACGCGCGTTGCACCCCCGGAAGTCGGGCAAAGCTTCGTTGGATCACGCGTCATCGGCACCTCTCCCGGGCCCGCCTTCCGCCGGCCCCAATGGCGAAAATGTCACTGAGAGAAGATGCGCAGGCGCCTGGCCGAGGCGCGAGCGCACGCTATTCTCCGAACTCCCACCTTGCACTCGATGTCCAAAACACCCTTTAACATCCGGATTTGCCCTCGTGGCTCGCATCGCCCATGCGACTTCACCGCCCGCTCGGGGCTCTCCGACAGAGCTGACCCCCACCCGAGCCCGCGCCGCGCGATGGTTGAACGGCCTCCTCGGGCGCCGCAACGCACGGCACACCACCGCGCTCGCGGACGACCTTTCTCGTGACCCGCGAATGAACCCACGCCCAGGACCACGTTGATTAATCGAATACGTGCCCACTTCCACATTAAATGAAGCGCGGCTCCACGGGCCCCCCCCTTCCCCCCCGACCATCCCCCATGGAACCGCACAACCACATGCATGATTGAGATCACTCGCACGCCTTGCCCCCGCAACCCCAACCGTCGCTCGCGCGCCCACCCCCGCGCCCCCCCACCCCCCCCCCCGACGCAGCGGGGGCGCCGACGTCGGCTAGGTGGATCAGTTCCGCCGTCTAACTCGGCTCGTTCGGCAACAAGTCGCACGCGATTCACCCGGGCACTTTCGCCTCGCCCCACCCCCCAGCAGAAAAGCAAGTCCCGTCGCGATTTCACTCGCTGCGCCCACCCCCATCTCCCCCGCCCACAACATTCATCATGCCCAGTTTTGGACTGGGGCGCACGGGCCCAAGCGGGCCCGGAAAAACAAATCCGCCACGGGGAACCCCCGCCTGAGAGAACCCGAAATTACCACCACTAACATCGACCACATTCCTCATCGTTCCCAGACTCGTGGCCCCTCACGGGCCACGGATGGCGAACTGGAAGTTGCCGCTCTTCTCGTGCACCCTCGCCGTTCGCCCCCCTGCCTCGCGTTCGAGATAACTGCAGGGCCGCCCATCTACCTTTCGAACTAACACTATGCGACCCCCTGCGTCGATCATGCCACGCGCAGGTTTGAGCTCCTTCGTCTACATCAGCAAACTGGGCGGGCACACTCACCCTGGATTCCTCTCGGTCTTTCCCCAGAACAACTCGCTGTCCGCGGTTCCACGCGACTGGCCCATCCGACGCGCTGCAACGCTTCCCACCCTCGGAGGCTTCCGCGAGATCAACGGGAAAGGGAGTTCCCGCGTTCGGGGGTCCAACAACGTTGCGGGCTCCTCAATCAGCAGCGACAACGACGGTTTGCACCCCGCTTTCCTGGCCCCTCACTGGTACTTCATCAACTTCGCCACTGGGCCCCTCACCTACCACTAACTTTCCTTCCGCGCATTGCCGCGCCCAATTTGCACCCTGCTTGATGCACTCCAAAATCACGCCACCCCATTCGGCGCCACGATCGCAACCAACGCCGCACTCGCGTGGCCGGCACGTTCTCCTGGCGTCTAACCTTGCCTCCCTGTCCATTATCTTCGTCTTCTGGCACTGCGCCCCCATCTCTCGGGCCCCTTTATCTGCGCGGGACCCTCCGGCCCCCCCGCCCACCCTGGGCCGCGGGCTACCTCGCTGGAGTTCTCGGGGCAGCGGGCAGCGACGCGACCCTTTTCGCCGCGCGCGC